CCCCAAAACCCCAAAACCCCAAAACCCCGAGATATCATCAGAGAAATGAATTAAAAAATTAAAGCTCCATTTCAGCCTCTCCCTGTCCGTCTTGTTCCCCTGTGTTCTTAACAATCCAAGGATGCTCCAAGGCTTCTTCCAAGCTCATTCTTTGATCAGGGTCAGCCTTGAGGAACCTTTTGATGAAGTTTCTAAGGTCTTGGGAGAAGTAAGAGTATAGCTGATATTCTGCCTTTTTTATCTTTGTGTATACCTTCGAATCAGATTTACAGTGGAATGGAGCAGACCCACTGCAAAGCTCATAGGTTAGCACCCCGATGCTCCAGAGATCGATCCTTGAATCGTAGTCTTTTGCTTTAACCATTTCAGGAGGTAGGTAGTCCAGAGTTCCGCAGAAAGTGTTCCTTCTGTTCTTTGGAGTATGAATGCTCCATCCGAAATCAGCAAGCTTGATATCCTCACCATCAACTAAAATATTTTCAGGCTTGATGTCTCTGTGGATGATGTTTTTAGAATGGAGATAAATAAGAGCTTCTATCATTTGCTTGATGTATCTTGCAGCAATATCCTCAGTGAATCTTTTCTGTGGCTGGCTGTATAGGTAAGAGAAGAGTTCACCTTCTGCACAGAATTCTAAGATCAAGAACAAGCGTTTCTTGTCTTGGAACCATCCTCACATCTTCACAATATTTGGATGATCTAGTCTAGAGTGAATCTCTACTTCTCTTCTGAAGTTCTTCAGATATTTTGGATTTTTGCGTAATTGGCTTTTAAACATCATCTTGAGCACGAACAAATATTTAGTGACTTTTTCCCGCACAAGGAGAACATGGCCAAACTTTCCGCGTGAAAGAGGTCTACCAATTTCAAAGTTATCCAGACTCCATTCTTCAGGACAGAAAGTTTGTCTTGGAACTTGAGGCACATCATCAGGACTTGATACAGTTCCTTTATGAGGAGTTTTGATTTTGACATTCTTATTAAATCCTTCACCACGAACTCCATTTTCAGTGGGAACTTTAAGTGAGGACTTCAGCGAATGCTTCGCTTCTGATTTTCTTTTTAGTTCTTCCATGCCTTTCTTAAATTCTCCAACTGATTTTTGGAAGAGTCTCTCTGCTTCAATATCTTCTTTGGGGCGTTCTTCATGATTCTTGTCAGTACTCTGGGCATTTGGTTGAGCATTTTCTGTGTTCTCCTTATCTTGTAAATTTTCGTCAGAACCTTGAAGCAAATCAACCCAATCCCCTTCGTCTTCATCTGAGTGAGACTCTCCAAACTTTTTAGTCTGAGACATTTGATTCAGAGAGGATACTTCCATATCCTGAATTTGTTGGTTGGGCTCAAAATCAGCAGTTTCAAATGGCTTTGTATAACTTGGAATGGCTCTTGGACTGTCAACATTAATATCAACCTCCATTTCTACATCCTTTGGCTTATGAACTAATGGTTGACCAAGAGGGCAATCTTTAGACATAGGACCCTCATCTTGTTGTGGGCGCTCCACATCAACATGCTTAATGACCTGCTCTACATCAGCATTGTCTCCACTGAGATTTTCACTGTTACCGCAATGAGCTTTTTCACTGCTGTCTAAAATTTGCGCGGACTTTCTTTCTTCTTTACTAAAATTTGGATTGGCTTGAGGATTCTTTCTAAAATTTGGTGTTTTGCTTTCTCTCTTCTTGTCCTTATGATCAAGCTCTTGCAATCTCTGTTGAGTAAGCTTTTTCACTGATTTTCAGGGCGGTTGAGATACAGCAACTCCATTTCTTGACTTTTTAATGGTTGCTGGTCTTGGTGGACCTCCCATGAAATCAAACACTCTAGACTTCACGCCACCATATTGATTATGCTGATTTGATGGAATACCCGAAGGACCCCTATGAAGGTTAAATTTTCAGAATATGTAACTAATAGGGGAGAGTTAGCAAAATTTCAGGTCACAATATGAGTTTTGCTTACTTCTTGGACTTCTTGCCAGTCTTGGGTACTTTTTTGTCTAATCTAGACTGTGGTCTTGACTCCTCAGAAGAGTTGTTCAAAGTTGACTTAGCCTTCGAAAATTTCGTGAAAGGATTTTTAAATGGATTATTATACTCCATTTTTGTGTTACTAATTTCAAATTTTATAATCTACTGCGGGGTTTTGGGGTTTTGGGGTTTTGGGGTTTTGGGGTTTTGGGG